GAGTTAAGTACGCGTAGACTCTAAACAGTGCAGCCCGGTAACCCGAGGGTCAACTGCCGTCAGATGTTGCCAGGTATTGCTGTCGTCACAAAACGATTCTATGACGCCGTCAAACGATGACGTAATAGGGCACATTTTTAGAAACTTTGAAATTTTGCTACTTAGGGTCGTCTTTGAACATTGAAAGCTTTTTAATAGTTACAAGTAAGTTTTCCCATCATGTCTGATGTTCATCTCAATATCTTTTAATGCGGAACATTCCTTTTAAACTTCACAAACCACTGCGTGTCTTATGGCACTAGGTACGTGAGACCCACTGCATCGTTTATCCACTCAGCTGTTGCGATTGGCATCTTGTGGTGAGAGCAACCATGAGTTTTTGTTGTGAGGGTGGTACGGGACACCACTACGCGGAGTTAAAAAAGATGGTGTTTGTGTCATGATCATCTTTAACCCACGTTTTTCGTAGTATTGCAGCCAAAACATTGGAGAAAGGGGGGGGGGGGGTAAGCCAACATGGGGGTCCACTAAACATTGGGGGGAGGGGCGGGACAGGGACCTCACAAAAGAATACAAATAGACACCCGTGGGCAGACCACGTCCAAAATCATCACTTGGAAGTCGGCTACAGCCAGTGAGAGACATAGCTATGGTAGAGTGAGCTATACCTTGCCTCCTCCCCTACAAATTATTTAGCGAAACTGCGGCCTTTCGATGACCTGCCAACCTAACTTCCTCCTAAAGACGCTTTCCGATGGCTCTTAGGCCACTTCATTTCGGCGTGCGGCAGTTTTGTTCTCAATTCGGTTTCATGGGATAGTTATTTATTTGAGTAGAATAGGTCATCAACCGCAAGTTATGTCCGAATAAGTGATATTTATATTTTCCCAAGTTTTGCATCATTTGGACTTGAAACCATCCTGTCGCCACAAATTTAATTGGTACGCGGGAGCACAGCCAAGGGGCGCCATGTTCGACCCACAGGTCTTCATTTTTGCCATAGCTGGCCCTTGAACGAAAATTTAATGTAAGCGTGATACGTTTTCACTGAAGTCTGCCCCCCCCCTTAAGAAAATCCTGGCTGCACCACTGCTATTGGTATGAATTAATGGCAAGTGTACACGAAAGCTAGCGGAAGAAAGCGTCACTGTCATTTCAAGGCGCCGCAGTGCCTGACAGGCAAAGCTGTGCAAGCAAAGGGATCCGAGGTGGGCACGGGCCGCTTGCTAGAAAGGGACAGTCACGGGACCTGGAATGTCAGCGGGCCTCTCGCATTCTTTGGGACTCGGAACAGAAAAGGGAATGTGATAAGGCAGGAAATGTGACAATAAAAGGGATCGCATTTAGACAGTGGAATGGTAATGTGTCGGACAGTGGGCCCAGCAGCGAACAAGACCCCACGCCCCGTTTCGCCCAGGGGCCTGATTTTGTTAAGTGTGTGATTTTGTCCGAGTGATGCCTGTGTCATTTAGTATATTCTTTGTGCCTGTAAGAAATTCTCGCGCGTCGCTAAAAGCCTCTATTCCGAGCCGGGCCAACTGCTCCCGTCAGAGGACGGCCCGCGCTATGGAGGGTACCAATGCATCATGTATTCCTCAGAGGGCCTCTGAATGGATCAGGAGGCCTGGCCCCATGCCACTAGAATGCTGCACCGCAAGTTCTATGCGGCCCGCAGTGTTTTAGTCACGGCGCCGCCTGTACGAAAAAAGGACATGGTTCCCTCAGTGTCGAATCCATGGCCCGATCTATGAACATGTCCGGTGACATAACTGGATAAAAAAGGAAGTAAAGGAAAAAACACCGGGGCCCGCTTAAAACCTCGAAGCTCTTTCTCTGGGGGCCTTTCACAAGGCCCTGTACCGCCCCTGCTTCACCACGATTCTGAGTGAGACCCTGAGCACGAGCACATGGGCGACACAGAAACCGGCGACAGCAAGAGCGGCGATGGCGAGGATGGTAAGCCTGCCTGCATGTGCCTGACTTCATACCTTGACACCAGCGTCCCACTCTGTGGGCGGTGTAGTTTAGGTCAGGTTTCCCGAATTCACACGGGACGAATCGCTTGGTAACGTAACATATTTATACATATGAAAGGAAGAAAGAGAGGCTATTCCCAGCAAATTTGGCATGAAATGCAACTGTAACCAACGAAAATGCAAATATCCAGACTGTCATTTGCACTGCGCAGGACTGCGCACTGCGCTCGCTCTCAAGACTCGTCCCGTCACTGCGCTCGCTCTCAAGACTCGTCCCGTCACTGCGCTCGCTCTCAAGACTCGTCCCGTCACTGCGCTCGCTCTCAAGACTCGTCCCGTCACTGCGCTCGCTCTCAAGACTCGTCCCGTCACTGCGCTCGCTCTCAAGACTCGTCCCGTCACTGCGCTCGCTCTCAAGACTCGTCCCGTCACTGCGCTCGCTTTTAAGACTCGTCCCGTCACTGCGCTCGCTCTCAAGACTCGTCCCGTCACTGCGCTCGCTCTCAAGACTCGTCCCGTCACTGCGCTCGCTCTCAAGACTCGTCCCGTCACTGCGCTCGCTCTCAAGACTCGTCCCGCCACGTCAACGTTGGCCTATGGGATCCTAAAAAGCCGGTCGGACGTACTTCTTATACGTCCTTGGAAAGACTTCTGATTGGCGGCGACAAATTACACGCGGCGTCGAGTTTAACAATTTCGATTATTTAACGCGTGCTGGCTTTATGGAACAATTGTAATTTGTACTTTGTAAACTCTTAACTACCACAGCGATACACGTGAGATGGGTAGGTATTTTGAGTAAGCTCTCGCAAAGCTGCCATTATGATGTTCCATGGAGCATTTTTCCTTGCTTTCAGCCAGGAACATTGCTGTGAGCAACACATAGTGACAAGAGTCACGAATATTACCTCGGTGTGCTGGTGCGCAATCACCTCAGATTGTGATCTATGACCTTTCCATATATATATATATATATATATATATATATATATATATATATATATATATATATATATACATCTCGTTACCAGTTCCATTGTTCCACTGTTAAGTGCCAGCAGTGACCTTGACCACCAGTCTGACCCAGCCGGCACCTGATGTCGCACTCCTGCGGGGACCGGTGTGGCGCCTCACCAGACCGGCCCGGCGCCTTGACCTGGCCCGGCCGGCACCTGATGTCGCACTCCTGCGGGGACCGGTGTAGCGCCTCACCAGACCGGCCCGGCGCCTTGACCTGACCCGGCCGGCACCTGACGCAGCTCTCCTGCGGGGACCGGTGTGGCGCCTCACCAGACCGGCCCGGCGCCTTGACCTGACCCGGCCGGCACCTGACGCAGCTCTCCTGCGGGGACCGGTGTGGCGCCTCACCAGACCGGCCCGGCGCCTTGACCTGACCCGGCCGGCACCTGACGCAGCTCTCCTGCGGGGACCGGTGTGGCGCCTCACCAGATCAGCCTGGCACCGCGACCTGACCCGGCCGGTCACGTTGGGTTCGGCCCCCTGCCACGCCGCCACCGCATCTCACATGACACCCTAATAAAAGTGTGTGTGTGTGTGTGTGTCATTGGAGCTTTACGACGCACTCGGCTGCTGAGGCTATATGGCGTCGCCTGCCTCTCACCCTGGCAGCAAGGGCGGACACCGCGGGGAATCGAACCCCGTACCTCTGGTTTCCCAGACGCGCAGTGGTTAACGCAGACGCGTTAACCACTACACTACCGGCACCCCCTCCCGTAAAAAAGCGTCCGTCTCGAAATAGCCCCGGCAGTGGATGAGATGTATAGAGCTAATCATTATCATTTTATTATATTAATAACGTGCTCGGGACCTGACGTCTGACCTACGCGACGGAAGTGGGCTCTGCGGTACCACACCATACCAGTCAGCCCGTGTCCTGGTGCTGCGTCACCAGCAGGCTAGCTCCAGACATAGGTCACGCACAGCGTGCACCACAGCCGACCAAGTTAGGCCGCGGCACTGAAGCTGCTCACTGGTCACCGCAGCTACCCGCTCCCGAGTGAATTTTCCCTGATGATGACCTCTGTGGTCAGTAAATCAGCGCTTCCTTTGGATCACTTCTCTGTTACTCCTTGGCTCCCTGAGAGTACTTAACGCCACGTCAGCCCGGTGGCTCTTCGAGCGACACTTGGTTTCACGCTAAGTCTCGCTCGAGAAACTTTCTCACGAGCACTCAGCTTTAATGGTCGTACCCGTTATAAGATGAATTTGAAGAGAACCCCAGCACGATTGATCTCATCCTTGCGAAGTTGCTCCGAAATAGCGACTGGCCCTGCCTTCCCCTGCGCGCCGCTTCAGACCACCCCTGACACCCGGCTCCAGGGAGAGGGAGGGGGCGTCAAAGAGAGCGGCGGCCGACCGCTGCGTGCGGCCGGACCGATTCAGTGCTCGCTGGGTGAGTCAGTGCGCTTGTCACGATCTCGAAGGTAAAAAGGTATGAAAAAATCCAAAAATTACGCTTGGTTAGGAATCTAGTCTTGTCTTGACGAGTCGATTTCAGAAAAAAAAATTCTGGCGAGTGATTCATACATGCAAAACATATATTATGACAAATTCTGGCAAATGATTTATATATGCAAACTTCACATGCTTTGGTATATTGGTATGCGAAATGCAGTCGTGCTTACGGTTTATTGTCTCCTTAAATCTTTAGTTCGCGATGATCGCATTCCTAAAGACGGTCGCATAACCATATATCTTTCAAACGCAAAGGTCTGTCCCTTGGAAACTGTAGCTCCAGTTACCCTGTAAGTGTTCAAAATCGTGTGCCGAGCTAGAGAAAAGTCTGAATACCAAAAACCGTCAAAATCCTTGATGGCTGGGAACCAAAAACGGCCCTTCGTTGCTTGAGCAGGCGACTCCACTTCCGGTCAGATCCAGTCATGATTTGAAAAGTAGTGTACACATGAACATGCATACAAGTTTTGTGCAAATGCGTCGCAAGTCATCGGTGTTGGTATCATTGGGCGGGAGACTGGACTCAACCGGCGTATGAGGACACCAGCATCATCACGCCTGTTTATTCAAAATAAACATTCAAACACCTCACAAAACACGGAACAGCTCAAAAGCCACGGCACTTAATTTTCCATACCATCGGCATAAAACGAACTGTACGACCTTAGCCATATTCAGTAGCAGCCGGCCTATCACGCCTCACGGTGATTTCAATACCAGGCGGTCTAGGCTAGTGTACACAATTACTCAGCCAAAACAATCCACTAAACACACGCGTTCCGTGATGGAAGATATTCGTCTGCAAAGGTTTAAAAAGGCCGTGATCTTGTTCACATTTCAGCAGCACGCACACAAACGAAAAAAAGGTTTAGGTTTACTCCGCATTCTTACAGTAAAAAAGTGTACATGAGGGAAAGAAAAGATGTAGCGTAATAAACTACTCCTTGCGGAGGAATTTTTTATTAAAAAATGATTACCATCGTAAATGTTGAAGCAATGAATTGAACGGCCCTAAAGAAAAAACTACAAACAAAAAGGACCCAATTCTACGTTAACTCAGCAATTCTGGCATACCTAGCATATTCTCAAGATAACATCCTTAGGGATGTTTCTAAACAACACCCCTCTTCCACAGCACGTTGTGAGGTGTCACGATCATGGCCGGATAACAGCTGTAACATCTTGAACGAAACGCTGCACCTAGTGCTCAATTCACTCAGTTATCTGGGATCCAGTGAAGCTGGCACTGACAGATGCTGCTCGTCAGCAGTACTGTTGTGATATTTTCAACCAACACTTGGGCATGACAAGCTCAACGCGAAAGCAGACAAAAATAACCCCACGTGCTACGTCAAGCTCAAGAAGGCATATTCCGTCTGCTTTACTTCTAGAAATCCTTTCTCTATAAGATATATTTTTCGCATTGTGCCACCATGTCTTTAATGCCGATTCAAACCCAGAGGACACCAGCGCACTCCATACCTCTCAGGCCTCCGTAACGACCAGTGCGCACACGTTCAGGCCGCGATCCCGACGGAATGGTGATCCACGAGACCGGACTCACGGGTTCACGGAGCGGCAGCTCCCGGTTCACCAGTGCCCTGACCGCCGCAGGAGCAGCTCACGATCCGCGCCGCGTTCGGTACTGGTGCGCCAGTGCCCTGACCGCCGCAGGAGCAGCTCATGATCCACGCCGCGTCCCGGTACTGGTGCGCCAGTGCCCTGGCCGCCGACAGGAGCAGCTCACGCCGTGTCAGCCCCACAACTGTCTCGTGCCATGCCGAGGGCGCCACCTGGCGGGTAGATATCCCGTTAGTGAGTGAAAGATGGCGGCGCGCCAGGGTTTTCCACGATCAGCATATAAGGCTTAATTAAAACAGGACACAACGCGCAGAGCACGACACGCAGAAGTTCCCACTCCACGAGATTATCTATATATCCACAACGCAGCGATCCTTCCTTATCCTACCGATAGTGCCGCTGCCTGGAAAAGAACTAGAATAATATCCATGGGCAGGTCAGCTCTGCTGTCCACCATGCGTCGCTGCCGGCCGCGCCCCTTCCGTGGAGCAGGTCAGCTCCCTTTGCGTCTCTGCAGACCCGCATGGCCGTCACCTGGAGCTGTTCGGCGGCCACCTGCCCGATGGCGAGCTGTAAGCCGGCCCAGCGCTGCGGATGGCCGGCCGGCGTAGCCGTCTCCATCCGCTGCACCCACTGGTCCGGCAGCTCGGTCGGCTGCGTGAACACGCTCAGAGCGCTGGCAACCGGGTCGTCCAGCAGCAGCAGTGTCATTTCGTACCACCTGCGGCGGCCGGGGACGGCACAGCGTCAGGGCCGCAAAACAGAACGCCACGACCGGGCTTATGGGCTGGCGATGGCAGCGCATGACAAGAGACGACGGATCCAACGACACGTAAGCTTCCAGCACATATTAAGTGCTGGACATATCACGATCACAGATCATGAAAAGCCATGGGGTGGCTTTTCAGGTTTCGGCTCGTTACAACGTTCATTAGCTTTGGGTCGTTACCCCACTCACTCAATCGCGAAACGTTCCAATTATATACTAGGCGATGCTGCGAAATATGCCGTAAAATATCATTCTACGAACCACGCTATGAAACGTAATATCATGAAACACGATAATTCAAAAAATTAAGCTATAAAATGCGTACGAATTCGGAACGCCGAATCCAATAAGTGGCCTAATTTGCTCCGAAGATGAGTGATCAGTTGGCTGCAAGTGACTTCTCAAGAATGTTGGGTACCACACTCACCAGAGTGAGTGAGCAGTTGATGATCCGCAGAGGGGACGGACCGATCACAGGGAAGTATCGGAGAACTGCTAGTATCGGTACACCGTCCACACCCACTGCTCTCAAGATACCCATCCGCCGGATCGACGAACATGGTTCAGGGAGAGTAGCGGGCTTAAAACTGAAGGTCATGCAGCCAGTTGGCGGTCTTGGTGACAGTCCCGTGCTTCCTCCAGAAGTGGCGGCAATCCAGGACCCAACCGTCACGAAATGATGATTGAATTCGTCAGCCAGACCACGGTTTACTTCCAACGGATCTTCTCAATTGGTACGTCATGACGTCTAGTTTGGTTGATAACGTCATGACAGATCGTTTGAAAGCAGGCCAAAAGTTGTGCCGGCCGCCAGAAATCATCACGTGTTCACCAGCTATAATGGCACACTTGATGCTGTTTCGAAGCCGTGTGAAGTTCCGTGTGAGCCTCTGGCGTGCGCAGGGCGAGCCTGGCGTCCTCTGCTGTGCCCTGCTCGGCCGTCGGAGCCCGGAGCTGCGGGTTATCATACAGCCTGGTGCCCTAAGCTGTGCCCTACTCGGCCGTCGGAGCCCGAAGCTGCGGGCTATAACACAGTCTGGTGTCCCCTATTGTGTCCCGCCCGGCCATCAGAGCCCGAAGCTGCGGGCTATAACACAGTCTGGTGTCCCTACTGTGCCCCGTCCGGCCATCAGAGCCCGGAGCTGCGGGCTATCATACAGCCAGGTGTCCCTACTGTGCCCCGCCCGGCCATCAGAGCCCGGAGCTGCGGGCTATCATACAGCCAGGTGTCCCTACTGTGCCCCGCCCGGCCATCAGAGCCCGGAGCTGCGGGCTATCATATAGCCAGGTGTCCCTACTGTGCCCCGCCCGGCCATCAGAGCCCGGAGCTGCGGGCTATCATATAGCCAGGTGTCCCTACTGTGCCCCGTCCGGCCATCAGAGCCCGGAGCTGCGGGCTATCATACAGCCAGGTGTCCCTACTGTGCCCCGCCCGGCCATCAGAGCCCGGAGCTGCGGGCTATCATACAGCCAGGTGTCCCTACTGTGCCCCGTCCGGCCATCAGAGCCCGGAGCTGCGGGTTATCATACAGCCAGGGGCAGCTGGGGCGCTTCACGCGAACAGTTTTACCGTTCAGTGACGATCCATGACGCCGTTCCATTCCGCTTCGTGTTTCTACCCGACGTGGGACGGCGACTCCGCCACCGCAACGAACATTGCGGCTATTTCTCACTATACAGTATCCGGGAATGGTCAAAAAGCTGTTAAGAATGTTTGGTAAGCCATGCCTGATATGCACAAGATGCCCAATTGTTGTTCGCTCAGCAGCAAACTGATCTCGTCCAACTTCCTTTGATCTTATCCAGCTTCCTTGTCAGTGAGCGTCCATTGACATGGCCAATAGTCAGCTGTGGTTGGGACTGGTCGATTGATGAGGTCTGACTGTCGTTGAGGTGAGCGGCGCAGGGCCAGCCGATCCGGCGTGCAAGGCAGCGTGGTGCGTGGCCCGATAGTGCTGCATGCATTGCACCCACCGTTATGGGCTCGGTTGATTGCTGGATCCGGCGTATTTTGATGTTCGGCCATGCTCGCTGCACTGGTAACGGTCGTTGCCGTATAATGGCCGGAATAGGTTTGATCGAGTTATGTTTTGCGTTAAGCATTCGTTGTTTTTCGACGGATTATTCGAATGCAGGTCGGCATATTTTCATACATAGATATCTTAGATATTCCTAATAGATATCTTATATATTCCTAATAGATATTTTTAATATTCCAGATATCTTCCTAGTAAATTCGTCACGGTTTGAAAAAAGAAGGCGCCTGAGCATGTTTTTCACTTAGTCGACCCAAAATGACATACCTACTTGTAGTCCAGGTTTTATTGAACCTATTGTAACAGATCACCAGATCATATCACAATGAGCAGGCCAGAACCATTGACCAGGAAAAGAAAGATGTTGTTATCTTGACATTCGCACTGTACAACAAGCTTGCGGATTACAAATACACAAATAAATACGTTAGAAACACGGAGCTCCCGTTAACGTGACCAGATGATAGAGCTTTACTCCGCTGACTCAGCCAGATTTTAAAAGCCACATCTATCACAATTGCAGGAACATTTGTGAAAGTTGTCTCATTCGCCCTTACCTTTCCGTTGAATCGCGAGCATGACTCGATGCTTCGAGCAACGACACTGATCTATATTGAGCATTGATCGTTATCTCACTGGGTAATGGCAGCCTAAGCCCATCCAAACCCAGCCCAATGAGATATGCCCATGTCACTGTTCTGAACACCCAGCCGACAGTGACGTCTGCCTCGTGCCGGTAGTAAGCAGGGCTATGTGGCTGACGAGTGCGGACAGATGCGCCACCGGCCAGCAGCGGCAAGCGGCCGACTCACCTTTCAGGCTGCAGTTGCACGATGAAGCCCTCCAGGGAGACGACAGCCTGCTGGGGTGGTACCAGGCCGGAGCCACGCAGCGACTGCACACGCGTCTCGGCCGCCGCCCGCGCGCCCTGCCACCCCACTGGCTGGGGCACCAGCGCGGCACCTGGCGTTGGCACACCGCTGCAAGCAACGTCGATCAGAGCTGGGCGAACAAAACACCGGGCCGGCACTGACGGGGGCCGGAACGGCCCGCTGCGAGGAACTCAACGGGTAATGAGAGGGGTCGGGAGCGGCCTGAGACCGGCACTAACGGGGGCTGGAGCGGCGCGCTGCGAGGAACTCAGCGGGTACTGTGAGGGACGGGAGCGGCCGAAGTCCGACACTGGCGGGGGCTGGAACGACGCGCTGCGAGGAACTCAGCGGGTGCTGAGAGGGACGGGAGCGGTCCTGAGACCGGCACTGTGGGGGGCTGGAACGGCGCGCTGCGAGGAACTCAGCGGGTGCTGAGAGGGACGGGAGCGGCCTGAGACCGGCACTGTGGGGGGCTGGAGCGGCACGCTGCGAGGAACTCAGCGGGTGCTGAGAGGGACGGGAGCGGCCTGAGACCGGCACTGTGGGGGGCTGGAACGGCGCGCTGCGAGGAACTCAGCGGGTGCTGAGAGGGACGGGAGCGGCCTGAGACCGGCACTGTGGGGGGCTGGAGCGGCACGCTGCGAGGAACTCAGCGGGTGCTGAGAGGGACGGGAGCGGCCTGAGATCGGCACTGTGGGGACGGGAGCTGAGAGCGGCACGCTTTAAATAGCTCAACGGACACTGAGAGGGGACGGGAGCGGTCTAAGACAAAATGGAGCAACGCTGAAGGAACTTAAGTGGCGCTGACATGGACTGGAGCAGTACTGGGACACTTCTCTCTCACTTCTCTTCTCTCGCCCTTCTCATGTGCACGCTCAAAGATACCGTGGGTTGCTTTCTATCGCGGCACTGGACCCACTGCACAAAACAATTGGTGAAAACTAAAATTGAAGATAACAGCACTTCATCTTCCAAAGCCGTGGCAGAATGAATAGCATTGATATTCAGCATCAGAGCTCCTTGGACCTCAAGTTGGACTAGGTCAGATAAAAACCTAAAACCTTCTAAAAAGTCTCCGTTTTCTGCATATGTTTAACCGAATCAGATCAAACCTAAAATCAGTGTGTTGGCACTGTACAAAAAGGAACAATTTTTCAAACAATTTTTAAGGGTCCGATCTATTTGATTCGCCTTGCCAACGTCACTCTTTGCTCGGGTATTCTCTCACACTGGATGTCTGTTGCCTAAAAAAAAACATGACAAGTTTCACTATCTACTCGCGGCGCAAGCATCTCTGAAGTTGTGCTCTGGGAGAACGCGTGGATTAAGTTATGTCTCTAGGTAAGATTATTTTAGCTTTTCGAACCACGCATTACCACCCACCTCGCGGGGCTGGCTACGGAGGCCGGCAACGCTCGCGGGAAGGTGGCATCGCCAGGGTTACCGCGTTCCTTCAATGGGCGAGTAACCCCTCTCACACTACCGCGTGTAATCAGGAAGAGCTCTCTCCATCCAATTGGCCCATCAAGGCATCACGTGCAGCCGGGCGCCTCACAAGGAAAAACGCGCTCCCCCCCCCCCCCCATCCGCCGCCACGCTGTCGCTGATGGACCCGTATTGATCCAAATGGGCCTTCGTGTGGAGAACCTCTGGCATGCACGCGTACTCGCACGCGCCGCGACTAGCCCGCACACAGCATCTCTAGCCATGGGGATCTGGTCCAGCTGTGGACGGGGGCCGGCGGGGGCAGCGCAAACCCGATCAAACAATAGAACGGTGCTGCGGTGAAATCGCACCAAGCCCCAGTGCGCATGGCATCGCCCCCACATGCCACCCCTATGTCATGCTGACCGCACCGGCGCCAAAGGGTTTCGACAATCCATCTTTCGGCAGTTACTAGTCCAAGAACGAGCGGCTTATGTTTGTTGCTGGCCACCGGAGCTGCAAGGGGAGCTACTTGACCAGCACCGACCGATGCCAGTGCATTTACCGGGCGCAGCAGTCCTACACCAACCGATGCCAGTGTATTCCCAGGGCGCGCATACACGCACACGGGAACTTGCACTCTCCCCGCCCCCCTTCACCCCCACCCCCAGATATGCTTGGCGCTGAACACCATGACCCATGCATCTCTGCAATTAGAATAGGTACTCACACGACAGTGGCCCTCCCGAACACGGTTTGGAAGGCCTCCCGGACAGCCGACACCTTGACTTCCTTGTCAGAGGCCACCACGATGTCCAGGTCACCACCCGAATCTGAAAACGAAATTTGAAAGACCACGCGAGCTCAGTGTCAGACGCTGCCCCACCTTGGCGCAGGTAGGCAGTATACTGCAATCGACAGGTTTCTCTGTGGCTAGTTGGAATTCTTGTTCACAAACTACAAAGTTTAGGAAGACACATTGCCAGTTCGGAAACAGCAGGAAACAGCAGGAAACAGCGAAGTTGCTGTGCTCTTGACGTGGATTTGCCTGAGTTTTGCCCCACTGCGTATAATTTGTAATTGGGCTTCGAATATTTTTCATACCGTTAACAGAGCCTCTTTTCGCCTGCGCTAGGATATTTTCGTCAAATAAATCAAATGAATGGAACTGAATGACCAAGCGACAATCACAACTGGCTAAGTTGGTTCGGTACCGCTGCTCCAAATGTGCGTGTGCGTGTGCGTGGCGTGTGCGTGTGCGTGTGTGTGTGGGTGTGTGTGTGTGTGTGTGTGTGTGTGTGTGTGTGTGTTGGGTGTGTGTGTGTGTGGTGTGTGTGTGTGTGTGGGTGTGGGTGTGTGTGGTGTGTGTGTGTGTGTGTGTGTGTGTGTGTGTGTGTGTGTGGGTGTGTTGTGTGGTGTTTGGGGTGGGTGGGTGGGTGGGTGGGTGTGGTGTGGGTGTGGGTGTGGGTTGGGTGGTGTGGGTGTGGGTGTGGGTGGGTGGGTGGGTGTGGGTGTGGGTGGGTGTGGGTGTGGGTGTGGGTGGGGGGGTGTGGGTGTGGGTGTGTGTGGTGTGTGTGCGTGTGTGTGTGTGTGTACGCGTGCGTGCGTGCGTGCGTGCCTTTCCAAGAGCTGGAATTTCAGTATCACACCCGAATTTATGATGATTGCAGCATTATCATGCCATTATATTTGTCAACGTCCAAAAATCAAGTGCGTTATCAGGCGCCCCCAAACTGGCATGAAAGAAACTACTAGCAAAGCTGCCCTCGCCCGCCAGAAATAGCTGCGATCCTATGGGGTCGACGTCGGTGGTATGCAGACAGGGGGACGCGGCCCCGGCTGCGTCGCGGCACGCCGCGCGGCACGCTGCGCACAAAAGGCGGCCTCCCTCATGTGGTAGGCAAGGGTGGCCCGACCCTGACTGGCGAGTCGGACGGCTCCGAGGCGCAAGACCTCACGATACCTTTAGCGTTTGCACTTGAGAAACGAACTGCCTGCTAGTTCGGACAGCTCGCCTCACCATGTTGAACAAAACACGCACTTGCACTTGTGTTTTATCTTCAACACATTTTACACATTTCACCTTTTTTACTGGCACTTAAGGGTCAGACGCTACCGCGATATCAATTATCCCTGTAGTTTATAGTAATCAAATTGAAAAAAACCACGCGTTAAATGGCTGCATTAAATAAACCGCCAGTGCCCTCCATTTTGCAATGGTCCAGTGGACTCTTTTTAGAGCGATAAAACTCAGAAACGTCAGATTTTGCATCTTGGTTGTACAGAGGTATAAAGGACTACGCGAATGTAGGTTGAATATAAAAAGTGGGCCGGTACTTTGTATGAACATGGCCAAGCCATGTTTATGCTGGGCACGTTCAAAGGTCAGTCCGAATCCATTAGTAATACAAATTATGTAGCGTAGTTTTGAGCTCGTACGCTCGCATACCTCAGCAGCGTAAACCTCGACGCCAGACGTTGCAGTCTCCATGGGCCACGCAGCGTCGGTTAAGTGCCTAACACTATGCTGTGGCCAACAGGTGGACGGAAATGATGACATATGTCAAGGAAGTATCTTTGAACGCTGATACTTCGGACGCATATTTCACCTGTGCGGTTTTTAAGTATATATATGGCAAGAACGTATTGGTCTCCACAGCACCGTGGAGTGGTGCTGGAATCTAACAGTGCAATTGGAGCAGTAAATGGAAAATCTCTATTTTTTGTGCTGCTGTAACAGTTCATCTGTCCACAGGACAAACTCAAAGCTGTAAGAAAAGATTCGCCCAGTGTAATCTTTCAACTGTACGAGTTAAGTTAGAAAACAAAATCAGAAACATTATTTTACATGGTTGTTTTACGCAAACAGCGCCCCCTGGCATTACTTGCAGTGGCCATCGCCGTTAGGTTTTGCAAAAACTGCAACACAAGCCATCGCTTTCCTTTCTCCCTCAGATCACGGACGTGTCGTCAGGGCTTTATGGTACACTCAGCTGCTGCCTCAAGGGACGCTTACAACCGATAGATCTTAAAAGCTTTGTCAGAATCTTATCTGGGCTGTGCAGAGATATTAAGGACCCCGCGAATTTGGATCAAAATCAGTCAACGATTTGTATTAACATGGCCAAGCCATATCTTTCAGCTAATGCTCGATATTCAGCGAAAATAAGCAAGTGATACAAATTATGTAACGTAGCTTTGAGCACGCGCGCTCGCCAATCTGGGCGAGAAAACTCGACGCCAGGCGTTGGTCTCCATTGGCCGTGCAGCGTCGGCCCTCGGTTCATATTAAGTTGTAGCCAACGGGCGAACGGAAATGATGACACGTTTGACAGGTTTAACTTAAGCCGCTTTAGGACTTTCAGCCGTGCATTTAGAAAGCAGCCAGGCTTAAATTTCGTCTGTTCGATTTTCAGGTTAATGAATTGAACGGATTGCTCTTTGCAGCACCACTTCGTGGTGCTGTAATCTGATGGTAGAACTGGAGGAAGAAACTACTGTTCGTGTTCCTGTAGCTGTTATCTGTCCGGAGGAAAACCTCGGAGGCATACAAAAGATACGCCCAGCATAACCTTCAAACGGCTAGAATACATTTTCTAATTCACTAGGAAGTGTTATCCCACGGCCGCGCTCTCGCGCGCACGGCAACCGCCGCCTCGTGTCGCTCGCACCGGCCAGCGCCATTCGGTTTTACGGAAACTGCGACCAAGGCCATCGCTATTCTTGCTTCCAAGATAGTGGGTGCGCAGGCTCCAACATTTTGATCATTTGATTCACTTGTGGATTCCGTACAAGAATAAATGTTCCCAGACAAACATGGAATGGCCTCATTCGTTTTTCAACTAATTTGGCCCACTCTTTGCAACACTAATTTGACATTTGCGGAAATGGGTTCCGTTTGAGTAGAACACTAGGGGTACATTACTGTCCCCGGTCACGGACTGGAGAGCCATTCCGTCCCACCGTCGGGTGTCCTCCGGCAGCCATCCCGGCGACACGAGGCGGGATTCCCTAACCAACCCGGCGGCCCTTAGAAGGACATCATATCAGCGTCGCCCCCCCCCCCCCCCCCCCCTGATGCGGAAGGCTTCTGACCCGCGCAGACCGCAGTTGACCCGGATCGACGCAGGAGCCGTCAATGACGCAATAACATTCCTGATCACCGCAGGTGATCAATAACTGGCTCATAGACACCTGTTCAGCACAACGGGCCCATGCTGGAGTTGGGTTGGTTGGCCCACCGTTCAGTACGGGGACCCTGGCTGGCAAAGGAATCTTCCATTGGCACAATGTGAGCACTGATGATCAGTTATCATGCTTCCCTTCATGATCGGAGGGCCGCGACCCAATCAGTACATCTTTCTCCGACCCGACACGAGGCCCCGCGTTGACACAAAACACCCTGTACAGCACTGTGGACCCCTTAACGATACGGGAGTCCCGCATTGTTGCAGGGGTCCCGACCAATTTAAATCGCGGACTCGGCCGTGTCCCTGCTTGGGAAATGGGATATTAATATCCTGCTGATCTCAAGACCTCAAGATCTTAAGTCTCAAGAGATCCTTCAAGCCCTTTTCAGGCCGCTCAGACACCGATCCTGATCGACTCGGGCCACTTCCCGCCACACGACCCCACACGGCACTGTGGCCCCTGACCGATACAGGAGCTCCTCATTGTGTCAGGGACCTCGAACATTGAAATTGCGGGCCCCGGCCCCGTTCCTGCTTGTAAAATGATGGGTCTCAAGGGGTCAGACAGACATGGAGCCGACTGTTTGGCTCAGTGTCGGGGCCCAATATAACTCGGATACAGAATCCTGGCGAAGAGGGACCTGATAGAAGCCCTCTGACTGACGTTTCAGGTCATGACACTACTTGTGGGGGCCGGGTCCGAGTCAAATCGTGCCGCTGACCTTTGGTCCTGCGAGGTCCTCCGGTCCCTCTTCGGACCACATCAAACAAAGTCAGTGGCCGAGTAGGGGCTACTAGCTGAGACATGTCCCCCGGTTATGCACTGTGGGCCCCTGATCGACAAAAGGGCCCAACCACTGTTTCAAAGACCCAGACCAATGCAAATCGTGGCTCCCAATCTTGCTGCTGCTTGACAAATGGGCCCCCAGGGATCAGGCTGACAGAGCCATCTGTGCGGTGTTCGTGGTCTCTGGCAGAGCTAGACACCCGCATTGTCTCAGGGGCTCCTTAACGGTACAAGGGGACCTCTGATCGATATTTCAGATCATCACCCTACGGACCGCGATTCTTTATGTGACCTAAAGCCAATCTTGCGGGCCCTTATGCCCTTCAGCCGGGCCTTTGATAGTCTGTTCTGTTGGGCCACCCGGGTTCCTCTTCGGGCCTCATCGAACACTGCCCCTGGTCGCTCCGGACCCATTGCGAGCACAGGGCCGTCTGTTAGGCGCTGTTGCCTACTGATAGATACAGGTGCACCTGCCAGTGTAAATCACTGGTCCCAAGCTTTGTAGCTGATTGGGAAGTGGGCCGCCAGGCCTACTTCCCACAGTCCGCTCCTTTACCGATACGGAGCGGACTGTGCGGCACTGGAGGTGCCTGACCAACATATAGACTTATATCGACTAAGGATATTCCTGATCGGTGCAAAGGGCCCTTTGACTGTCATTCGAGGGTCAGTTCCCGCAAGCCGGCACCCCTGAATAACACACCAACCAGACCTTCGTACTCTTAGATTCTCCAACCGAGCCCTCGATCGTCGGACCCGGTAGGTGCTCCAGGCTCTTCGGACCTCCTCCAACATTGCCTCACACCGATTTGGAGTCCCTTGCCAGCACAGAGTCCCCGTTAGGCACTGTGGGGCC